TGGACGCTCCCCCAGCGGCACGGTGCTCTTCCCCGCAGAAGCAGGCAGGGTAGCCCAGCTACATTTCTGTTTCTGCTAAGAGGCTGTCACCAAGACCTGACGTCATCAGGACCATCTGGGAGCTGGAATCTGCAGCGAGAGAGGGAGAAAACCATGAGAAAAGAGGGAGAAAAATCATGGAGCTGTACTCCAGATCCAGAGGTGAGGATGAGGAATTAGAGCGCTGTAGGGTGGGGGAGTAAACTGCTGAGAGGATTGTGAGATTAAGTAGTAACTAGGTCTGCTCTAAGCACGCAGCAGAACAGAATTGGTGTTTGGGGAGGAGGGAAGGCAGAGACAGCAGCAAGAGCCCAGGGTGGGGATCTGCATTTGTTCTCTTGGCTGCTGGGGGGAACATCAGCTCTGAACTATCCCCATGTACCTTTTCAGGTGATAGTGGTTGTGCTGACCCAGCTGTGCCCTTACCCAGCCCTGCACAGACTTTTAAACGTGCGCTCACCCAGTGTGATGAGATACTGTCCAAGGGGGACAGGCTGGCAGGCCGCACGCCACCCAAACCCACGTAGGATGCTGGTGTTGCCTTCCCAAGAGCAGGGAACACAGCGGGCAAGCAGCCATTTTATGACAGTGGAAACCTGGAAATCCTGACTTTCTGTGCTGCGTGAATGGAGGGTTTGTGCAGCCCTACCCTGCCTGCCTCAGGAAGGTGACAGCAGCTTGCTGGCTCTGTGACGGCACAGAGCGCCAGCCAGGAACACTGCGACTCTCCCCATGCCAAGCGAATCAGCTGCAGAGGATGAGCACGCATAGCAAGTAAAAAGCTCAGCAGGGTACCAGTTTCCCATCCAGAAGCATTTTTAAACAGAAAAAAAAAAAAAATTCCTGGATGTGAGAGGGAGATCTTTGGTTCCCACAGGCTTCAGAGTCCTATGCATTCAGAACTACTGTGTGGGATTTCTGGTTTGGGGATCAATTTCTGGAAACTGAATCCAAAATGTAGAGCTGTCAGTAAAGGATTTATTTTCATGGCTCTAAGAGATGAGGATCCAGATGTTCTGAGGCTCAGGGAGTGGTTGTGCTTGTTTGCTGCTAGTCCAATATGAGAATTGAGACGGAAGAAGGACAACTAAAGGTAAAAAAAAAAACCAAAACCAACCAAAGCCCCCATCCAGCAGGATCACAAGGCAAGCATGACACTATACAATATCCTATATACCCACAATACACAACAGGCTGCTGCTATCTCCATAATATACCTTTTTCTCTGCTACAAGCCACTGCACAGGCTGTGGCACCTGGCTAATCCCTCACACATTTGGGACAGAGATAGGAACATCTGATGCTGTGCAGATTGCAGGGAGGTTCTGGAAGCAGTGAAGAATTATATGAGTTTTGGCTAGGATATCTGGCAAAGGCCCCTGAGATCTTTAATGCTCCTGCCCTTGAGTTTTAAGACTTTGCACTAAGATTTTTGTTCCTGCAGCATCAGGGGAAACGCCTCTGAGGTGCTGTTTCCACTCTTTGCAGCAGCCGCACTGTCCTTGGAATCTGCCTTTGCAAGTGCGGCTCAGCCCAACGCTATTCAACATGAAGGTCACGCCTGGAGGCTGTCTGGATTCCCCTTCCCAGGGAGGAAGGACAGACACTGTTCACCAACCCCACTAGACCAGTGGCCTTGGAAACACCCCAGACACCTCTATTCGTGCCCGTCACCCCTGTCCACAGCCCAGGTCCCAGAGCTCTTACTGTTCTGGCAGATCCAAGGGTTCTTCTCCCTGGCTGTGACTTCACGAGCCTCCGTCTCCTCCTCTTCCTCACCCTCTGAGAGCAGGTCAGAGATCTGCTGCTGCAGCTCGGGACTAATGTTGTTCTCTGCCAGGATGAGTGTCCGCAGGGCTGTGGGGTAATTCTCTACCATGTCCAGTAAGGTCTGGGCAGAGAGTGAGATAAACAGGCTGACAAGCATCACAAACAGCAACCAGGCTGAGCAGAAAGATGTTCAAAGCTCTGTCTCCCTGCAAACTCCAGCCCTCCTTCTCTTACCTCTGCCTTCCCTTGGCTTTGGCCACCCTTCCCCAGGCTTTCTGAGAGCCTGAGGGCTTCCTCTCTTTCTGTGGGAAGAGCTGAGCCTGGATTTCCTGTCTCTGTCTAGAAAGGAGGGGACTGCTCTACACCCCCTTGCTCCCACCTACCCAGGCTGGTCCCTTCTTAGCACTGGGAGCTGGGGCTCTGCGGGGAGAGCCTGGGCTGCCAGGCCTTGGTCCCTGTCTGTCCACAGAACTCTAGCTCTGATCCTCAATCACAAGTCCAACCCCTTACTTCTTCTAAGAAAACCAAACTACAAATAGAGCTGTGTAATTCCCCCGCTGACTGGAGGGAGGCCCAGCAGCCCTAGGTCAGAGCTGTGGCCAAATGCAATGGGCCAGGGGAAAGGAACAGCACCCCTGGGCACAGGGAGGGAAGGGGGTGCGTGTGGACTCGGGGGTTATGGAGGCAGGTATATGTCCTAGCACCCCTACAGACAGCCAAGCCCTACGCCCTCGAGACATCAGTGATGGCGTAGAGAAACTACAGGCTCTCCCACCTGGGCTGACTGGTTGGTAAGTCCTGTTCCCTCCAAGTCCAGAACTTCAAGGGTTCGACTGGAGGCCACGGCGACGGCGAGCATCCCTGCTACCTGGTCACCTGTGGGAGAGGTAAAGCGTGGCTGTGAGCAGTGCCTGCCTTCCCTCATGTCATACCATGTGCCCTCGTGGGGCTGGAGCTGTCACAGAAACATCCTCTGAGCATTTCTGCCATCAGACAACCTCCAAGTCTCAGTTACCTTGGTGGGGGGGGGGGGGGGGGGGGGTGGATCCGGGGGGGAGAGCTGTTAACTGAGAAAAGAGATAAACGTGCCCCATTTTGTGGTTATGGAAGCAGTCACCGATTATCAGGGGGAACACAGACACAGTGAAATTGGTTTTAGTCCCCAAGGAATGATGTCTTCCCCAGTCTCCTTCCTACTCCAGGATGCGAGGGCATTTACCAGTCCCTGTCAGGCATCCCAGATGCAGAATAAAGAGCTGAATACCTGGGTCTAGGTGGGAGCTGGACAGAGGACCCTGCACCAGCTGACTGACTGCCTCCCTGGAAAGTGTCAGAATTTTGGGGGTGGGCACAGCAGGACCAGGAGCATTAAAGATTAACGCTGGTGAAGAGACAAAACTCCAGCACATTCTCGTGACATTCCCTGGCGAGTGCCAAGATACCGTACAACTGTGACACCTTCTCTTGGAAAAAAAAATCAAACCAGGCTGCTGTCAGGTAACACCCTGGGGCCTTTCCTGCCCAAGAGGAGGTACCTGGTCAGACAGAGAGGGCTCTGGGGTGAGGGGAGCGCCCAGGCGATGCTCAGGGAGGCACGGCCTGGCCCCCTCCTCACCACCTTGCAGCAGAGCTGGAGAGTTGGTTTCTACGGCAACCAGTGCCAGGCTTTCCTCCTCCTGGCTCCACCGGGAAGATGAAGGGGGTAGTGCGGGGACATGCTGCATCTGCCAAGCCAGCGCTGGCACCCAGGGCTTCAGACACAGGGAAGACGTGGAGGGTCAAACGTGAGGACAGAGGCGGTGGGGCGGGCGAGGCACAGACCCCCTTCTGCACCTCCCTGCCTGGCACATGGCCACCTCACCCCATCCGAGCATCACGGCTGGCTT